ACTAAAAAATAAATACTAAAAACAAAACAAAACAAAACAAAAACCCACTATATCACTCTGCCACTTAGATGGAGCCAAATTCAGCGTAATTCTGAAGTCAGGGACAGGGCTAAAAAGTCTTAAGGGAAGCTGGGAGGAAAGAATGAAGACAAAGTTAGGCTACTAACACCAATACTGTAATGTATAAAGCAATTTAGAAGTGAGCTCTAGAGAATCCAAAGATGGGTCTTAATTGCTCTTTTGTCCCTATTTTATCTCTAGAGAGATAAACCAGTCATAAACTTTCTGAGCTTTACTTTCCTTACCTATAAAAATGAGAACAAAGGTCTTTCTCTTTACACTAATATTCTGTAATTTCTTTTTCCATACACATAAGTTCTCCTGTGTATAATCCACAAGGGTCATTTTTATATCTAAAATTGACCAAGAATTCTCAACAGTTCCCTAGCCCCATCTCTTTTTATGTTTTTGATCCTAAGATAGGGCCTCACTAAATTGCTTAGGGCCTTGCTAAGTTGCCACGGCTGGTTTTGAACTTCTCGATCCTCCTGCCTCAGCCTTTTGAGTCACTAGGATTACAGGCACGGGCCACCACACCAAGGTTTTAAAYGTGTTGCCGGGCTCACTTTTCCATCTCTTCCTCTTCCCTTATGGGTAGTGTTAGCTTTCAAAATGCAACCACTTCTTATATACTTGTAGGAAATCTGCTGTGAACAAACATCTCTCCCTTTCTAAGCCAGATTATGCACAATGCTGCAGAGAACACTGATTTATAGTTAATAAATATGATCCTTTACTTACCCTAGACTGGGAACTCAATGTTGGCATACTTAGCAGAGTGCCTAACACATAGGAGGTGTTTAATAACAGGCTTTTCATACCTTTATTTTTAGTAGTTCTTGCTATGTAAGCTTTTCTCTCTTCTAATTTTTTTCTGGTTTCTTCAACTGTCTCAAATTCTGGAGCATAGCACACATGAAGCAATCCACCAAAGAAACTCTGTTCATCCATTTTTCTCTTGGCTATCCTAAACAGAAATACATAACATGGCTAATTAATCTGGATTAACATAGGATGAATGCTTAACTAATATAAAATACATCAATCTAAGGAGCAAAGTCTACCTTTTGCTAAGTGTACATGTGTGTATATCCTATTGATTGGGAATTAAAATGGTCTATTTGTAGATGGTTCCAACCCTACTGATCTAGGATGCACTCTAAAGTCTTCCTTTCCCTCTTTCAATGGTATTAAAAGGTTTTGATCCTCAGCACCACATAAAAATAAAGGTATTATGTCCATCTACATAAAACATTAAGTTAAAATACTGTAATTGTAAAACTTGATAAATGAGAAAGTCGTGAATACATAACAACTAATCAAATGAAAACAAAGGAGAATGGAATTCATTAAATAGATACTTATTGAACATCCGGCCAAGCATTATAGTAATTATTTAAGTACTTCTGTAACTAGAAATAATGATAAGTGTTATATTGAGATTTAACCCCATATTAGGCAATGTCATAGGGACCTCACTTCAGTTAACATCTCAAAGCAACCAAAGTGAAGAACTGGGATGTTACATAACTTGGCCACATTCATATACTAATTTCTGGAGCTGGATTCAAATCCAGATGTCTCGTTCCAGAACCTACTATACTAGGTGATGTGAGAGATACAAAAACTTCAGAAAACATGCTTCCCTAACTCCACAGAATCAACAAGTTAATTTTTAAAAAGTGAGATTACATATAAGAGCAGCTTAAGAATGACATATAACCACAAAATTAACTGCTTTTGGGGTCAACTATGAGGTTTACTGGTAGCCCAGAAAAGGAATATAAATGGCGGGCTGGGGCTGTAGCTCAGTGGTAGAGCACTTGTCTCACATGTGTGAAGTGCTGGGTTCAATCCTCAGCATCACATAAAAACAAACAAAAAAGATATTTTTTTAAAAAAGAAATATAAATGGCAACAGCCAAGGAAGGATGGATCTTTGATCAGATTAATGACAAGAAAAGGGGTTAAACTAAAAAATACATAAGATATTGCCTACTTCAGCCCAATGGAACAGGTTTTTGTTTCATAGAAATCTCCAAAAGATGGGATTAATTCACAGAGGGCCATAACAATAACTGTAACAAGTAAGGTTTACTGCATTCTGAGCAGAAAGGTACTACTCCAAGTAAAAGGACTTGAATTATCCTCATGCAAGCTCAATAAGTRGTCTTTTGACTATATGGATTTTAAGAAGAGAAAAAAATTGGCTTACTAGGATTAAATAACTTATACAAAGTAACAAGATAGTGAGCAGTGTGACTGGAAAACTTACCAAATTCAGTTTTTAATCATATCACAGGACTGAAAGTTGTTGAGCATGGGAATGAGGGGATGTAAATAGTATTTTGATAAGATTAACCTTTACAAAGATGTCAGGAAGGGATTGGGATGTGGCTCAGTGGTTGAACACCTGCTGAGTATAAGTACAGCCCTAGGTTAGACTCCATCCCTGGGGGTAAGGGAGGGGAATTACTGCAGAAAAGATGAGAATGTTGCCATGTTAAATTTTGGGGTAACTCAAGTATTAACTATAAAAACCTGGGACAAAAATGATAGTAACAGGGTCAAAGGATATAAGATGCTGCTTAACTTACACTTTACCTTGCACTTTGTAAATTCATAAATTTAATAAGGTAAACTTCTGTAAAATCTTCTGCTGGATATTCATCTAGAGCATTATATTCTTCAATTGCTCCATATAGAGCAAATCGCTCAACTAATTCCTTCATTGCTCCCACTGCAGGAACTCCTTGTATTAATAAGTACCGAGATTCCAAATTGATTGTATACACCTAAAATAAATAGAGTTATGAAGTGTATTTCACAAATAAGACTAAGATAATCTCCCCTTTAAAAAAAAAACAGAATTTGAAAAGAAACACTTTGGTCAGTCCTTATCTTCAAAAAGCATACAAAATTAATTTTAAAATTTGCCATTCTCTCTGCATAAAAAATAACACACTTCACATGTGAAGGTATCTAACTAAAGCACATAACAGACTGCTCTGAGTCGACATGTTTATAATATTTTTATCTGTGCATAATTATGCTTAATAATAGGTTTCACTGTGACATATTCGTACATGCATATGATTTAAGTCATCATTTCTGTAAGTTCTCTCAGTAGAAGTTACTGGGACTAGTCACTAAAACGAATAGTCATTGAGTGTTTAACAAGCACTCACGTAAACACGGAAGATACAAGAACTAAAACAAATCCCTCTTCTGGAGAACTGACGTCCTAAAGTTAACCAAGTGGGTGGAAATCATCTTTGGTCTCCAAGCCAGAGTTCCTCATTCCCCTTCCAATGAGAGATGGATCTGACAGCAGCCTTTTATACCTTTATTTAAGTAGGCTGGCTGCGTGGAGAGCGTGCTCACATAAAGCTACCCAAGATAGCGAATGAAAGCGAAATCATTTTACCTTAACAGCGCGAGGCCGTCTACCCTCCCGATATTTGGCCCGCGTGTCGCAAACCACCCTCTGGACGTGGTGGTCGAATAAACTCCCAAGCTTCCCATCACTCGACGCCATCTTGCCTGCTTTGGTCACTGCGGAGAGGACAACATCCGTCTCAGGGCGCTCCTGTTTATCCAATCAGAGAGCGGGATGAGTCGAAGCATGGCCAGGATTGGCTGGAGAATCGACATCGTCGGCCATCGTTTCCTGAAAACGAGAATTTGGTGAACGAGGTGCCGCCCCCAAGCGGCTCGGCGGAGAAGTTCAGAGAGTGACAGAAGCTTGATGGTCCTGCCCGCTTCAGGCGCGCGGGTGAGACTCACCGCGGGAGAGGGAGTGAAGCCGTAGGGGGCGGAGCCGATCGATCTTCTCGGGCTCCAACGCCCTCGGCCTGCCCGGGGTAGGGGTCAGACGCCGCGCCAGGGTGGGCGGTCCTGGAGTAGTGGTTTGGGAAGATGTGGGGCAGCGATCGCCTAACGGGCGCTGGTGCAGCAGGGGTGGCTGTGACGGTGACCTTCACCAACGCTCGTGACTGCTTTCTCCATTTACCGCGGCGTCTCGTGGCTCAGCTGCATCTGCTGCAGGTAACGCGCCGACCTCGGGACACCAGAACGGTAACCTGGGATCGGACGTGGCCGAGGCCTTCCCGGAACGCGGCGGCCGCTGAGTTCTTTTCTCTGAGCCGGGTCCCGGCGGTCTCCTGGACGTTGCCGAATAGCGCTAGGCCGGGGTGACGGCGCAGGGCAGGTCCCGGCAGTCTCTGCTGCCCCGAGGTTAACTTAGTCCATATCTTACACTTTGGTTAAAGTAGGCTTTGAAACATCCTAGTATTCTAAAAATCCTCTCCATCCAGGAACCTTCCTTACTCCAGATGGGAAAAGCTCTTGAGAACTTGTATGTTTTTATTATTTTAAAGTGCCCACACTCGCCGGCGATTGCCAAGTCCCCGCACTGCCACAGTTCGCGCCTCTAGGGGCAGACTTGGTGTGTAGAGCGCGTGTAGGTTAACTAGGACTGAGTGCCGCGTCTCCCACGAGCAGGGGAGGGTCATAGAATAATAACTCTTCCCTGCATTGGCAACCCCGAACCGAGCCGAGTGGTGCCAGGAAWGTGCAGTGGAATTATGCCCATACTGCATCATATACGTAGTTAGGTTTACTTGGACTTATGTGGTCAGGACGTGGTGGTTGTGGTATTTCACATTTCTAACCACTGGTGGAGATACACATCCTTCCCCCGCCCCCCCCCCCCCAGCAACCAGAAGTACCTCATACATGCTAGGCAAGGCTCTGCTACTCAGCTACATTCCCAGCCCAGCATGCCGATTTCATAATTAAAAATTGGTACACACGGTCTCAATGAATTTGAGTCTGCTCAGTAGCAAAAGGATGCAATTTTTGAAATATTTGTCTGGTACCCACTACTGGCGAATCTGTGCAAGACATGTTGCTGTTTCTTCTTGACCTATAAGAGTTTGCAATATTTAAAAGTTTGCAATAAAGATCCCACTTTTCGGGCTGGGGATGTGGCTCAAGCGGTAGCGCGCTCACCTGGCATGCGTGCGACCCGGGTTCGATCCTCAACACCACATACAAACAAAGATGTTGTGTCTGCCGAAAACTAAAAAACAATAAATAAATATTTAAAAAAAAAAAAAAAGAAAAAAAAAAAAGATCCCACTTTTCATCTTAAGCCACTTTCCTGTAACTGTTTTTCCAGATATTTTTGTCCATCTTTCCATCCTTTCATCTTGTTATTACTTATTTTTGCCACTAAGTAGGCAGGTTTTTTTGTTGTTGTTGTTTATTTGTTTGTTTTACACTGACAGGCTTCTCCATGGCTCCAAGGAGGCAATCACCAGTTTCCGGGTAGAACTTGGCTTAGTGCTCTGTCAACTTTGTACAAGATTTTCAGTGTGTTTTCAAATCCAAACCTAATTAGTTCATAGAAATAAACTGTCTTCCTAAAGAGTTTATACGAAATCTTTTTACAGTAACTCTGATTTGTTCCTTAGATGTAGTTGTTACATTACATTACATTCATCACTGTTTAAAAKGTTTCAGTGATCTTGATCTTTGTTTTAAATTCTGAGTCAAGAAGTATTCATAAATATTAATTAATGGGCATCTTTTTAAATTTAAATATCTGCAGCCCTAGAATAAATTGCTGTTTCTTCTTGACTTATATCAGTAGAATAACCAACCCCCAATTATTGACGTAATGCTTATGTTTTGTGAACATTTTTAACAACAAAATAAAGTTACTCATAATCCTAGAACCTAGAGATAACCAATACTAACACTTTGAATCTAGGTTTCTTTGTAATCTTTATTTTTTAAAAAATGAGGTCCTAGAGCTGGGGACTCAGTTGATAAGGTGCCTGCCTCACATTGCACAAGGCCCTGGGTTCAAAATCCCATGCATAAATAAATAAATAAATAAATAAATAAACCCCCATCACCAATAGATAGATAGATAGATAAAAATCCATCCATCCATCCATCCATACATACATACATACATTCATACGGTCCTATATACATAGACACATTTTGTGTCCTGCTATTCTCACATGGTGTTCTTATCAGTATTTTATTTGTTAAAAGTTTTTTTTTTTTTTTTTTTTGGTACCAGTGATTGAATCGTGGGCCTTAACCACTGAGTTACATCCTCAGACTTTTAAATTTTTTATTTTGAGGCAGGGTTTCACCAAGCTGCCTAGGGCCTAAATTGTTTAGGCTGGCCTTGAATTTGAGATCCTTCTCAGCTAACATTACAGGCATGCACCACCACACCCTGCAAGTATTTGTAATTAAAAAAAAATCTCAGGTCACTTGGATGCATGGAGGAGTTGAGACCCACTGATGTAGAATCATAGAATGTTGATAGAAAAAGGACCTTAGGTATGTAGATCATTTCCCTACTTGTACACATCAACTGGAACTGTTAGGCCAGTACCATTTTCATCCATTTAATTTTCCCTCTTGTCTACAGCTCACTCTGTCATCCAGACTAGCCTTCTTACTGTTTTTCTCTAACGGATCTCATTCACACTTCTGTTCATTTATTTGTGCCATTCTTCCCCAAGACAGTTTTCTTTCTTCCATACAAGTTCCATGCTATTAAAAACAATGTAATCCTTTGGCTGGGGATGTGGCTCAAGCGGTAGCACGCTCCCCTGGCATGCATGCGGCCCGGGTTCGATCCWCAGCACCACATACAAACAAAGATGTTGTGTCCGCCGAAAACTAAAAAAAAAATAAAATATTTTAAAAATTCAAACAACAATGTAATCCTGCTCTCTTCAGGAAGCTTTCTGATTCTATTGCCTGCATTTGTCTTCTTTTGGAAACTTCARGATTGTTTATGTGATACATCTAATTAATTATACTCTATTCTGTTTCAAGTATTATTGCCAAATTGATGAGGACTGCATACTCAAGTCGATATTTAACTAGGCTTTCTCAACCTTGGCCTTTTTGACATTTTAGGCTGGCTAAATTTTTGTTCTAGGGGGATGACCTGTACATTGTAAGATGTTGGGGGATTTTGTTTGTTTGGTTAGGGTKTTGTTGTTGTTGTTGTTTGTTTGTTTTTGGTACCAGGGATTGAACCCAGAGGTGCTTAACCACTGAGCTACATCCCCAAATCTTTTCATTTTGAGACAGGATCTCGATAAGTTGCTTAGGGCCTCATTAAGTCACTGAGGCTGGCTTTGAACTTGGGATCCTCCTTTCTCAGATTCCCAAATTGCTGGGATTACACGGGTGTACCACTGTGCCCAGCAATTTTTTTCTATGTAATAAAATTGATTTTTCCTTTTTCTAGTGAGCTGATAGGTTTTGGGGAGGATTTTTTTGTTTTTTGACATTTCAGGGCACATTTCATATTTTTTAACTTAATGTCTCTGGTTTTAAAAGTTTCTTCATATTAAATAGAATTGATCTGGATTGTTTGTCTCTGGCCTGAAACCACAAAGAGGCATCTGGGGCTTTTTCACCTTTACTCTTGTAACCTCAGCTCASAGTTACAGCTGAAATGTAACTGAGGACTTTTGATCCCAAATTCAGGGCTGTTTCTACTTTATCAAACAATACTCAGTTGAAAGGTTTTGTTAGCTGGAGTTAAGTGCCATTCTGTGAAAATTGTTAGAATAATGTCACAGCTAAGTGGTGTGTAACAACCTCCAGGTATACACAATTTTAATAACATGGCTAAAGTACATTATATTGCCTCAAAAGGTCCTTTGAAATTTGTCCTATTTAAAGAAATATATGGTAGTAAAATTTAGTGTATGTGAATAAGTTTGATAATTAGTATTTTAACTTTAAGGAATTTATTTTGATAAAAATGAATTTAATAATACTGAAGATTCCTAAGATGATAAGTCTTGATGGCTATTAACCAAGTATTTACTTTTTATTAAAAATGATATATGTGGATCTGGGCTATAGTTCAGTGGCAGAGCACTTGCCTAGCATGTGTGAGGCACTGGGTTCGATCCTTAGCACCACATAAAAATAAACAAATAAAGGCATTCTGTCCATCTTCAACTCCAGAAATAAATTTTTTTTAATGATACYTGTATGATAATGCTCATGATGCAATGTTAGGTGCGGGGAAAGAATATTAAATTTTGCTTATAATTCAGAACTGTGCAAAAAATTAACTTGCACATAGAAAAAATTTAGTAAGAAATATACATTGTTTACATGGTTGTCTTTTTCTGAGGGAAATATCAATAATTTCCTATTTTCTTTCCATGTTCATGTATTTTCCTATAATGAGCATAAGTCTTTAATCATAAAAAACATCATTTTTAGTTCTTGGCCACAAATGACATTTTATATAGTTGCTTTTTGTTTTTGTAATGGTTTTGAGGTGGAAACTAAGGCCTCATATTTTCTAGGCAGGTGGTCTACCTCTGAGCTATACCATCCCTTTTTAAAAAATTTATTTGTTCTCTTTAGATACTCATGAYAGTAGAGTGTATTTGACACATACATACATGGAGTATAACTTATTGTAATTAGGATCCCATTCTAAACTGTTGTTCATGGTGTGGAGTTTCACTGGTCATGTATTCATATATGAACATGGGACCCATCCTTTTTTATTTTGAGCCCTGTTGTCATTCTCTTGCCTTGGCCTTCTGAGTAGTTGGAATTACAGGCATGTACCATCATGCTCAGCTTAATTTCTATTTTAATGAGAATAAGTTTTGTATTTTGCTCTTTTCACATATATTTCCATAGTTCTGTGAAATTTAAAAGCTATTTAAGAAGCTGCATAACATAACATTTCTGGAAGGGCATATAAGAAGTTATTAACTGATTATCTCTGAGAAGAGGGACCTTCCCTCATGTTTATTCTTTTGTATTTTACGTTATGTATTTATTACTGATCAGTCAACTT